ATAAATGGATACACAGATAGATAGATAGATAGATAAATAGATAGATAGATAGATAGATAGATAAATAGATAGATAGATAGATAGATAGATAGATAAACAGATAGATAGATAAACAGATAGATAGATAGATGGATAGATAGATAGAGAGATAGACAGATAGATAGATAGATTGATAGATAGATAGATGAGTAGATTGATTGATTGATTGATTGATTGATTGATTGATTGATTGATTGACTGATTGATAGATTGATAGATTGATAGATAGATAGAAGACTTCTACTACTTCTTTGTGGACGCCTTCTTGAGCGTCGTTTGTTGTTACGTGAAAATGCATCATGCTCTTAGTTTGTTTTCTTACTTCTTTGCATCAGGCTTTTAGTTTCTAACGCGTTGCTTTTCTTCGTTCGTAAATGCAGCTTGTACGCCTGCTGCATGCCTGAGCCGGTAGCTCGTGCGGAACAACAACATCGTGACGCACTTCGATTTTGTGACTCCACCCGTCGGCACGCCACATCCGGATCTGTCATTGTCTTTCCTGTCACGTCAGTATCTCGTGCATGATGGCTGCGGCGAGTAGACGTCGTTTGGGCACCACCTATCCCGCCTTCGATCCTCTGCCAGAATGGAAACAAGCGGACTTGAAGCGTTTGCATGTAGTGTTGGAGTGGATTGAGAGGGGTCAGGACCACGTTTTAGTTGGTGGCGGCAACTTCTTGATGCGGTGTCGCCCGTGCGACGAGGTGTTTTTCTGGTTCCAGATCCAGAGGAGTCGAGCACTTCACAAAACAAAAAGCACACTGCCACGACGAACCGGTGAGATCTTGTGGCGATTGCAGCGGGGAGGGGTGACGCTTAAGGACCCGCTTTCACAGAGATTGACCGCGGAGCATGCGCATCCGTTGGAGGGGGCGATGGCTATGGATGACATGTATGGAGGCGAAGGTGGTGTCCTGCCGGATGAGCCTGTCACACAGACACAGGTCCCTGCCATAGAACAGGGCAGAGGTGATGCAGATGATCGTGCCGAGGAGCGTCCAGTGCGTACACGTGATTCAGATGATAGGCGCGACCACTTGCGGTCACTCGTCGGTATGACGGCTCCAACTGCTGGGGGAGGGGCGACAACGACTCCTGGGAGCCAAGTTGCATCCACAAATGTGGCATTGAGAGTGAGACAGTCGACCTTGGATCCTTTCATAGGGAACAAGGTGCAGAAGGATCTCGATCGTCTCCTGGCACTTGCCATGTATCAAGGCGGTGTTTCCTTCAACTGGCTGCGGTTGAAGGAGACGCAGGATTACTGGGATTACATTGTCACACTCTTGTGTCCATCCATCCATTGTGCCAGTGTCACGACTGCTAACATACGAGGGAGTCCGGACAAGGATGCTGGACATTATCTACCACGAGGTCGCGGCACTCATTGCCCCGAAGAAGGCAAAGTGAGCGGACACCGGATGCACGTTGATGACGGACGGGGCAACGGACCAGAGGAACAAGCCCGTCATGAACTTCATAGCGGCAGGGTAGTCTGGACCGGTACTCATTCATACCATCGACATCTCACACAGGGACAAGACAGGCGTCAGTTTAGCGGACATATGGGAGAGTGTCATACGAGATGACGTTGGGGTCGACAATGTGAATGCGATTTGCACTGATAATGCGGAGGTCATGAAGGCGGCGGCCAATGTTCTGCAGTCCCACCCTGACCCTGCCATTGCACGCATACCTTGGATCCCATGCGCAACACATTGCCTGAGCTTGCTGCTGAGAGAAATTGCTGCACAACCTTGGGCTAGATTGGTCATGAAGCAAGCACACAAGTTAGTGAAGTTCATGAGAAACAAACAGAGGGTGCTCGCGCTGCATCGAGGCACGGAGCATGCTCTGGACCTCAGGCGACTGGCGGATACTCGCTTCGGGAATGCTTTCATGATGTTGGAGAGGTTGTGGGCACATAGGTTCATGCTTGACGAGGTGGTGTCATCGGATAAGTGGAGACGTGCACGATGGGCCGGCGATGCACGGACTGACGAGTCGGAGGTCCGCAGACTGTGTAGATCTGATTTATGGTGGCAGCAGGTGAAGAGAGTGATGGACGTCATGGTGCCGTGTTACAATTTCCTCAGGGACATGGATCGTGACGGGTCGTCACCGCCCGGTTTGTGGGATTTGCAGTCAATCCTTGAGAGGAAGATTGATGCGCTGCAGTTGGAGGAGCGTGAGAGGGAGGCTGTCATGGAAATTGTGGCGGACAGGTGCGCGATGATGCGTCAGCCTGCCCATGCTGCAACTTATTTGTTGGACCCTCGTCGGCGTGACGTGACTTTGTTGCTGGATCGCTCGGTCCCCGTTGTGCAAAGCGCACTCGACCACTTGCACACACCTTGGGCGGGAACTGGGGGGCGGATGAGATGCACACACTTTGGGAGGCTTTGTGGAGTTTCCACTGTGACGATCCGCATTACTGGCCGGAGCATGGACCTCACTCGTGGGATCAGTTCGCCACTCGGGATGCAAAATCGAAGACCATGCACCCAGCGTCGTGGTGGGAGCTTCACGGCGACCGTTTCCCAAAGTTGCAAGATAGTGCGAAGAAGGTGTTTGGCATGTGGTCCACAGCGACTCCTTGCGAGCGCAATTGGGCGACCCACGACTTCATACACACGAAGAGGCGCAACAACCTTTCTGCGCAGAGTGTTGAGAAACTCGTGTTCGTTCACTGGAACATGCAACTTCTCAATGCGAGCAGGCAGCCGGATAGTCGTTATATCGACGTGTGGGCGGATATGGTCGAGGATCCCCCGGAGGAGATAAACGACGCAGATGTCATCCCCACAGACGTGGGCGAGGAGTAGGAGCACATGGATCAGGTTAACCGTCGCAAGGATGGTCATAACTGGAGGATATCTGTATCGGTGGATGATCGTGTGACAGATGATGAGTCCCCATGACAAGATGCAGTGTGGATGCACCGCGAAACGATGAAGCATGCGCAGGCGGATAGGGGCAAAGGGAAGGCGGTCGCAGAGGACCAGCACAATATTATGGATGAGTGGGCGACATAGGACCCTCACACAGACTTCGACTCCTACGTGGATGGCAGTTTCCAGACAGTGAGGACCCTCTGAAGCAGGGCGGGAGGTCACATTGATGTGGAGGGTCTATTGGTGAGAGACGATGCAGAGGAAGAGAACATCCAGCTCGGCCACAAGGACATCCTTGCGTCACCTTCACATCCACGGGCGACAGAGATCGGGTCATCAGGCACCGCGAGAGCACAACGCCTCGTTCGTTCAGAGTCTTCTCATCATGAGGCGCCAGTCACCGTCAATTCCATAGGTCTGGAGGCACATGCTTCTGCCACGACAGGGTCCCTTGCTTGCACCGGCAACGTGCGGGGGACGAACGGGTCTTCAAAGGCTGTCGTGCACTATGGTGCGGTGCACGGGGCAGAGCAGAGGCTGCAGGATAGCATGGGTGATAGGTCTGCTCATGCAACGGAGCAAAGGCCACAACACAGGGATAGGGTGGAGAAGGTGGTAGAGCAGCATGCAAAGCGTTCAGGGGTCGGACAGACTGTCGTACAGACGGTGGATAAGAGAGTGGACGAGGTAGTACAGGACTTGACGGGACAGAGGGTTGAGGAGAGGGTGGATCATAGTGCAGATCGGAGATTGGATGAGAGAGCACACCCGCTGGATAGGGAGGGCATTCGTCCCATGGTCGTGCAGACTGCAGAGCAGCGTGTGGGGGTGGGTTTGGCCGCGATAGTGGAGCAGAGGGCGGAGCAGAGGGCGGAGCAGAGGGTACATCCATGTGCTGCCTTAGGTGTAGATCCTAGGGTGGAGCAGAGGGTGGAGCAGAGGGTGGAGCAGAGGGTGGAAGTTAGGGTGGATGTTAGTGTGGAGCACGACGTCGACCAGGGGAGATCAGACATCGTTCGCGAGAGAGTGGGCGAGAGGATTGACGAGAGTGTCGTCGGAGATGAGGGCGGTGTGATGGTGGAGGGGAGGGTAGAGGATAGGGATAGGGAACCCCCGCAGGAGAGTAGTGCACGAGACATCGCACTCACCGGAGCTTCGTTCTACGGGATTCTCCCGCTACCCCCATGTGCCGCACAGTCCTCGCAGGGGGTGGATCTTGGTTTGCTTGGCATGTCGTCACCACATCGCGTGGCACCTCAGGAGGGGGGATCTAGAGGGGTCATGGGTGGTGTCGACCACGGATCCAGCCAGGCGACACAGGGAGGAAGACGCAGCCTGTTATTTACGAGTCACGTACCCTCGACCAGTCTTGCAGGCATACCGCCGCGACCCGGACCAGGAGCCATCCATTCACCCCACTCATCCACGCTCAGTGGGGGCTCTAGTCTTCCCACGTCAGCACGACCGTCATCATCCAGGACGATTTGCACGACCATGCGCAGTCCACTTGGGATGCCCCCGCTTCCGCCCCGACGACCATCAGCCATCCGCGATAATGTCAAGACGAGTCGTGCCGGCAGGAAGAGGAGACAGAGGGAGGACGATGGAGACGAGGATCCACCCCCCTCACGCCCCAAAGCAGGCACCGGTCGAGCACGTGGCCACCCACGTGGCTCGGGCAGAGGACGAGGCAAGCAACAATCATGGGCGCTGAGTGCACTGGGGGATGCTGATGTAGAGACTGCTTATCTTAGGGAGGGGATCGCTGCAGGCGGCGGTGTCTCCGGCGGTATCCGTACTAGATCTCAAGCCGCCCGCAGAGAGAGGCAGAAAACCTCTTCTCGCGTGTTTGTTCGACGATGATCCTGATCGTGATGATCACGGCAACACATCGGATGAGATGTCCGACATTGACTACGCGGACAAGACTCGTCACAGGGGTCAGGCTGAGGGAGGAGATGATGACAGCTCCGATGGAACTGGGGACATGGCAGATTAGAGGGATGTCGTGTCGCCGAGTTCATTCTTTTGCGTGCATGGGGAGTTGTGGCATAGTGGGTCTCAAGAGGTGGATGCAATGTGCATTTGTTGAGTGAGAGTGGAGCATCGGTCGCAGCCATCGCGAGAGAAAGAGAGAGAGAGAGAGAGAGAGAGAGAGAGAGAGAGAGAGAGAGAGAGAGAGAGAGAGAGAGAGAGAGATTTCGTTGTTGCACTCTATTTGCTGCACTGGTAATGCGTTGCTTCTGTTTCTGTCTCATTCCCTCGTCGAACTTGAATCCGCATCAGCGATCTGCAACTTTGTTCAACGAATGCATTTATCGATATAACTTGTGTGCATGTGTTTGTGTCTCTGTGTGGGAATGTGTGTATGTGTGCTCACGTGCATGTCACTGTGTGTATTTGTGTGTGGATAGAATGTGTGTGTGTGTCTGTGTGTGTGTGTGTGTGTATGCCGCTGTCACTGCAGCTATTGCATCTGCTGGAACGGATGGTCACACGCTGCGTCAGACGAAGCAGCTGCAGTCGCTGCATGTGCAACATTTTCTGACTGCAACAGCAGTTCCCCAAGCAATGCCCCCCCCCCCCCAACACCCCACCATCACACCTCTACAAGGAAGATGAGCAAAGCGAACTTCAGCAATCACACAGCATCACTTATATGAGTCCAGATAGTCATGACCTCGAACCAAAATAGCATTGCAACACGAGTTCACCAAAGAAGAGAACAGCAATAGTTCATAATTGACAATGTCCTTGTAGTCTCATCATCAACTCAGAACCAATGTTGAGTCCTATCTGCCACTCGACGCCCAGCTACTCATGGCATATCCTATCTAGCCTATACTACGTAATGCAAATGATGACGACAACAGCCTCAACGAAGTACGAGCATCAAGCGGCCAATGCCGCAAGCTTCAAGCCCCAGGTAAGTCTCTCGCTTGAACTCTCAACCCCGATCCTCACCGCACAGATGCCACTTCCACCCAAGAACCACCTTGCGCCACACCCAGCTATCAGCGGAGCAGCTCAGCTATAGCTGCCCACTCCTTTCCTGCTCGCCCGTGAGCGCGTAGGTGTCTGCCAGCCAACTAGTGCAGCAGCGCTTGCGCAGCATGCAACCAGCACCCGAATGCCAAATGCGAAGGCAGACCCTTTGCTATATCGAAAAGGCCTGCCTGCTTGTTGTCCCATGCAGACGCTGGGCCTGTACCTAGAAACTTTTGGTAGGCCCCGGTAGGCTGAGGCCCAGTCCACCAAGCTCAGGCCTTGTGCCTGGGTTAGTTGCAGGTGCCCAATTGTCAAAGTCTGTGTGAGGCACATTTCCCATATCCAGCCGAGGGCCTAACTTTGATACATGCAAACAGGAGGCCCCGGGCGTGGGTTCTTTCAACCAACTGGCGCTGCGCAACTGCCTGAATTTCCTTGACTTGCGTGGTGGCCGAAACAAAGGCCTACAGGGCCTTGTCGTGCCTGCCTTCACTTAGGGCGGTCGACGGTCTGCATAACAGGGCCAAAGTGAAGGCAGGCACCTCCCTCTCACAATATGAATTTATTTTTCGGTTTTGCTCTAAACACCCTGAAATTTTTTTTGGGGGTTCCCCTAGTTGTGCGCAGAACTCCTCCTTTTTTTTTTTTTTTTTTTTTTTTTTTTTGCCAAAAATGCAGTTGTCCGATTTTCCGGACAACTCCCCCCTGACCGTCTCCCGGAGACGTCCGGGGGAAACGTCTCCCGATCAGACAGCTCGCAGCCTAGAAAAAAACTTAATTTAAAAGTTAAAATTTGTATGCATACGTGCGATAAATCGTAAACGCAATGTCCAAATTAAATGCTACGAGCCAAGTTAAGATTGAAGTACATCTAAATTAAATGTTACGAGCCGCCAAAATCTAAACTTTCAAAAACGCTATCATTTAGACAAGCATCTACAAGCGTCCCCGCTTCCCATAAGAACCAAACCGTATAAGGCATTCATTGACGACTTGAAAGCAAGGGTTTGTGATTGTCCCTTCGTCGCCACGTTCGAGAACACTGAAATGTATTTTATCTTTCCAAACCCACAAACACCTGCCAAGGACTTACCGATTGCTTCAGGCACACAACATATCACTTGCTCTACCTCATGTCACTTGTCAATCTCATCAATTTGACCGATAATCTCCAAATCTGACTGTCCGATCTCGTAGAGAAGGAGCATATTGCTCATATTGCGCCCATTGATTTGAAGCTCGTTGCAAGAAACAAGCACGACAACGTCTACCAAACTTCTCGTTCAGTTCAAACACGCCACAGACAACACTCTGCAGAAGTTAGAAACAGCCAAAGGCAACAGTACGCAACATTATGACACATCTTGCGGTCGAGTTCCAGCACCACACAATGGATAAAACTCCAAAAATGGATTGTAAGACGCATAGTCAAACAAGTCTTGTTTCAAGTTTGCGGACAACGCGCGAGGTAACCACGTGACGTTCTCAAGGTGAAGGTAAAACCGCTTATTCTCTTCGTGTCAGAGTGCACACAGGGATGAAAGTTACCTGACACCGATGACATACTTTGACTAGGCTCCCCCACTCCATTGCGGAAGCAAACATGTACTTCTTATGCCATGGACATTTCCTTTGCAGGATCGCTCTATCTCATTCTGCCTCGGACCACACATCTAGAGGTCGTCAAGAACGGGGTGATACTCATCCACGGGTCGTTTTCGAACTCCATTGTCATCGGCCCGATAATTTTATCGTCGCCGCCCTCACCACATAATCTGTGTGTGCAAGTGTGAATGGGATACGGATAATCATGTCAACCGGCTATGACTCCTATCACACTCCCCACATCAGACATGACGTGCAAGACATTAAAAAAAATAAATTGTTGGAAAAGTTGAACAATCGCCTTTACGATGAACTAAACTTCAAAAATTGCTTAACCATCACCCAACCATCTCATAAAAAACGTCCCAAGATCGTGGACAAATTCCGCCACGTTGTCCTACCGCCGGAATCATCGCAAAATTCACTAAGTTTAAAAATAATATGCTCCCTTCAAGGCTCCGTCTTTCTATAATGCACAAACCTCGCAATGATGGCTTACCACAATTAACCTCGTTTAAAAAGTCGTTTTCAAAAATCCTATTCGCTTATCTATCGGTCGGACTGGCAAGACCTATAACGCGCACTTGTCGCTTTTGTCCGCTGCATTGACACTCCCTTCAGCAGATGAACTAAGATTTCCAAATGCAACTTCAACATTCAATCGAACATTGGAAGGGATGACAAGTCTAGTACAACAGAAAAATTTTCCAGAATTAAATAATCATCCTAGAGTAAAATTACATTCTAAATTTTAAATTTTTACTCATGTTAAAAAATGTCATTCCAATTTTAAAATTTTTCGTCTTGCTTTAAAACTTTCCTTCCAAGAATGGGGGATCCCTTCTTATTTAAACAGCATGTTAGAGATGGAATGAAAGTTTGGATGAGTTCATGAAATATTTTAATTGGATTGTAATTCTAAGTAAGGATTTTCAGTCATAAATAGGTTGATCCAATCTAAATTAGAAACTATTTGTTGTAGTAGAATGAAAACCCTAATTAAAACATTTCATAAACTCGTTCAGACTTTCATTCCATCTTGAACAAATAGATGTAGTTGGAAGAGAAAGCTCATATTTTGACGGGAACTTATCAAATTAAATTGAAAATTTAGAATTGGATGAACATGGAAATGATAATTTATAAATATCTAGAATTATTTTTTTATGGAATGTTTTAAAACTTCCATTTCTCGTACGAATTTTTCTGTTGTAGTGAACGGTTTTATACCTCTGACCAGTCTCTCCCAACCAAAAGCGATCGAGTCGACATGTTGCTATTGTGTCTGGTCAGTCATCTTCCATTTTTTCTCCCATGTGTTATCATACAATTTTTGGACAAACTTTGCTCTCCAAGTCGGCACCCGGTATTCAAATAGCACTTGAGATTCTGCGAATTTTTTTCACCAACCACCCGAGAAAGTGCTTTGCCAATCCAGATAGGCACGCCGCTAGACAGATCTTCGTCGGAGCGGTGAAGGATGAGAAAAGTGCGCACGTCAACATGTACGAGGGGGTCAAAACTGGTCTTCAGATGATCTTTTCTTCGTGCAACAAACAGGGGCTCCCTGTCGTCGATGTTAGCACTACTTGGAGAAGGTTGTTCATCGCTTTCCCGCAACCGTGGTCTTTGCCAAAAACTTTGTAGAGGTTGTGAGAAGAACCAGTTGGCGATGATCTCGTCACCATGTTTAATAACCTCCTCCCAGTAAGACAAAGTCATTTCTCTCCTCCTTACCTCATGTTCGTCTTAAGTGCAACACGTTGATCGTCTGCTCTCTAGCCAATCGCAGAATCCAACACCATTTTTGCCATTATAATAGTCATTTTGAGGAAGCGGATTCACAGAAGGCGGGTAAAGAAACCACGAGGGACTTGGGTAGCTTTCATCGGGGTTTCGATAAAACCAATAAATCGGACCTTCCTCGGACAACCAGTTGTCATCATCGCAAAACTCCATGTACACCATGACCGAATTATCTCCAATCATAAAAAATTCTAGCAAATAGAGTTTTGAAATACCAATAATATCTGATACAATGGATGGATCTATTACACTTATCCAATCTGCTAGTGTATCGAGGAAAATGCATTTAAGAGACTTTTTGTGGGATTGCTCTATGAGCTCGTAGAACTTGTTCATGGTATAAGCGTCTAGGTCTTTCAATTTTTCAGAGAAAACTCTGAAAGTAGCATCAACGTCTGTATGGGTATGTCCCACCTGCATGTAACCTATTTCCACCTCTTGGAAAACTTTGAACTTAACCAATAGTGCATCTAGCGCACCTCCCGCCAACAATTATCTGCTT